TTTTTCTTGCTGGACTCAGAGAACAATGAAACGTATTTGAACAAAGGGACATATAAGACTGTTGGTTAATATTGATGGAAAAGACGGTCTAGCATCTTAGTTATGGTACGTTTTTTGGTTTAATTTCTTTTTAATTTGTTATTCTATTAAATATCATACAATTTTCTATTTACTCTTTTCAATAACCGTTTTCTTTTTATGTAATAAAAATTTTATTTACTCCGCTATGACTGTTTCTTTTTTTTGTAATAAAGAAAGCCTCCACTTACTCTACAATGATAGTTCCATTTTAAAAAGGATTTTTATTTTTTGAATTATAATAATTTAGTAATATTTTTTTGTAAAAATAAAATCATTAAGATTTAACCATAATAATTTATTAATATCTTTCTTTGTAAATAGGTTTTTTTAGTATAGATAAGATGAATTTTGTGTTTTTTTGTTATTTTTATTAAAATAAAATCATTAAGATTTAATCATAATAATTTATTAATAGTTTTCTTTGTAAATAGTTTTTTTAAATAAAGACAAGATGAATTTTTTGGTTTTTTAAGTAAATATTTTATTCACATTTTTATATTTTTATACATTTATAACTTATAACTATTATAAATAATTTTATAATCTAAAAAAAATTAAAACAATGCCACATGGATGATGATGTGGAGGATAAGGTGGCTTCACCAGAATCTTTTAAACACAATTATTAATATATATAGATTTTTTTTTAATGAAAGCTTTTCTCACTATTGCTTTTATGTGTCTGTCAACATTTTAATTTAACAAAATTTTTGTTTCAATCATGTGCAAGTCGGCGGAAACGCACAATTAATTTTTCATAAAAAAGTAGGAATTGTCGAATTGTAATTGCACTAGATAATAACCCGATCCGCGCGCATCGCGCGGATTAAAAAATACGTATAAATTTTGATAAAAAAAATTATTATTAGTTTTAAATTTAAATATAGAATATTTTTGTTTTTTATTTTATAATTTATATTTTTAATGAGAATATTTTTAAATATCAATATAATATGATGTTGTATTTTTTTCTAATAGAGATCATAAATAATTTTGTATTTATATTTTTATGGGTTATAATAGAGAATTAGGGATTGCAATATAGAAAATCGAAATAATATTTTTTAAAATTGTCTTACTCTGATGAAAAACTTTCACTTTTGACACAATCTCAGGAGTATATAAAAAATATGATTAATTTGATAAATAGAATTTTAAATAATAATAAAAATTTGATTGATGTTTGAAATCTAATAATAATATATTTAGATTAATAAATATTTCACAATAAAACATTGATATACTATTAAATATATAATCTCATTTGTATTTAAATTTTATAGATATATTTAATTATACCAAATTAATAAAATAGAACACTAATCATGTGACTATTTCATTATATTTTTTTACAAACTAAGATTTGATAAGTTTGATTCTTAATAAATTAAAACTAAGATTATGCCATTTTTGTATGCTATGAATATTTTATTCATAATAATATTAATTCAACAATCTATATAAAATCAATCCATTTTTATTTTAAAGAAATCTGAGTTGGAGTCTCATTTAGTTAGACTTGTATTTTTTATTAAATTTGTTTTTTATTATTCTTATCATCTCAATTTAGTTAATTTGATCATCCACGATACGTTTTAAGATCTTCGTTTACGCGATGGAGGAATTAAATTAATTGCTCGGATGTGCAAGATCTATTATCGTCTTGTAAATCATCCATGATAGTAGTTGATGTTTTAAATAAAACATCATTTACCAGATCCAGACAAACTCTGTATTCGTTCCAAATTACTTTTCACTCATAATATACACTTTAACACCCGATTCGATAAACATCTAAAAATATTCAAAATAAAATCCCAACGACACGACAGAGACCTTTACCTAACTAAACTGATATTTTACATTATATCTTATTAAAATCTTTATAGTTTTTATAGTTTTTGTTAGACCAAATTTTAAATTTATAAGAGTTAACACAAATATTATTAAAAAAATTATTTATCATATATTGACGATATTTGTTAAAAATCAAAATGTTAATAGTTATAGTGAAATTTATCTATTTATTTGATATTTTAAGTTAATATATTTTTATTAATATTTTAATATTTTGTGTAATCTTAGTTTTTTTTGAAAAAAAGAAAGGTTTTGATTCTGCAAATAATAAATAACACTTATATTATTGATATTATATTAGATAAAAATAACTATTTGAAATAATTTTATTTGGAAATATGAATTATCTTTATATTTTTTTATAGATTATATTAATTTGACAGCCAACTGAAGAAAGATAAAATGAAATTGACAAACATATTTAGATATTAATATAAATTATATAGTCCGATAAATTCGAATACTCGAATCTTTTGTACGAAAATTATTGACTACAATATAATTTAAGATTAGACCATTTATTTGTAATTCCCGTAAAGCAAATGAATATGAAAGCTAAACCGATCAATAAAGGTTTATCCGATATCATAAATCAATTATGTATACCGTTTTTTCATCCAAATTTTTATACTTTTCAAATTTACGAACGATTATAAAATGATTAAATTATATTCTTTTATTGATGTTTTGGTTTCAACGTTTTTCGACATTCACCTCATAAATGTAGTCTTTAATGATAATTTTTGAATTTCGAAATATATGAAATCCAAATAAAAATCTTTCGAAAAAATTAGACGGTTTGTTTTGGATGGTAGGAGCTAAAGTTCCAAATAAATCATCACTAATCAGACCCAAACAGACTCTAAGAGGACCCCTTCTATATGACATTTCATTCGGAGTATACATTTCAAGACCCGATTTGATAAGTTTCTGAAAAATCTTCGAAACAAAAACCTGTTGATACCTAGAAGACCTTTACCCAACCAAACTGATATTTTATATTACATCCTATCAGAGCCGTAAAAATGCATGTGCAAGTGGAGTAAGGGCACGGGACCCCACAATTTGATAGGCCCCACATTTAAAAAAGAAATTTTAAATACTAATAATTTGTAATTATATTTATTAATATAAATATGATAAATAATTAAAATTATATTTAACATAAAGTTTCGTAATTATTATCATTAATATTTATAATTTTTGAGTTATGTTTGTGACGTTTTAACATTTAATTTATCAATTAATATAATTAAAAAAATTATTTAATATTTTTATAAAAAAAATAAAAAATTATTTTGTACAGGGCCTCTAAATTTATCGGGACGGCTCTGCATCCTATTAAAACTTTAATAATTTCTATGATTTTCATTAGACTCATTTCCAATTACAATTGAATATCCAAATTTAAACATATCGTTATGAAAAAAATGATTAAAGATGTTTATTAAATAAAATATCTTTATTAGTACGTAATGAAAATAATATTGTAACCTTTTGTACAACATAATTAAGTTTTAAAAACATTTAAATAGTAATTTTGTACATAATACATTAATATTATTATTAATAATAATAATGCAAAAATAATTGTTACAATATCAAAGTGTTATCTTGTAAATATTTTTTCGGATATTAACACAATAATTAGTAACATATCGTAATATGATTGAAGATATTCTAAATCAATTATATTTTTGTTAATCGTCCTTACAAAAATTATACATATTAATTATCTTATAAGATTTTTATAGTTAAAATTATAATTATAGTAATATTCCTTATTATGCATTTATAATTCGTAACTTTTGTTCCTATATATTATCTATGAATACATTTAGAAATAAATATAATAAATACATACACATTTTTGTATCGATGATAACATTTTTTACAATAAAATAATTAGAACTGATAATACATTTATGTAATAGAGTGTCGTTTCATGCAAACCTCGAATGTCCATTGAAGAATACATATAAAATTTAGGTTATTGTTATTTAAAGTTCATATGTTTTGTTCTTGTTAATTCACCAACACCCCCTTCCTCAGTTTTGTTGTATAAAAATGATTAATTCTGAACTGTTCCGTAAGGCAGAAAGAAATTTCATTAATCGAATGTCCGTCACGTGTTTGAAAAATAAAACTCTCTGAGTGTGACGCCATTATATATTCCAACAGTCCAGCTTACATTGCGAAGACCTTGTAAGGTTCGAGCTTACATTTTCTCGTGTTTAAAAAAGGAACTCGAGAAAAAGAGGGAAAAATTGTTGTATAAAAATGATTAATTCTGAACTGTTCCGTAAGGCAGAAAGAAATTTCATTAATCGAATGTCCGTCACGTGTTTGAAAAATAAAACTCTCTGAGTGTGACGCCATTATATATTCCAACAGTCCAGCTTACATTGCGAAGACCTTGTAAGGTTCGAGCTTACATTTTCTCGTGTTTAAAAAATAACTCAAGAAAAAGAGGGAAAAAACTTCAGAAGCATTATTCTAAGGGAAAGATCAAAGAATCAACAAAAGAAGATTCTGAGAGATACAATCGAAAAGTTGACATCTCGAAAATTTTTTACAGTTTGGGGATAACCCATTTATCTTTGACTTTGTCTTCAAGGTAATAACGACTCTTTGATTACTGGAATATTTCCTTTTGTTTGTCTTGCTTACGTCTGTAATGTTTCCAATAGATTGTTTTATGATGTTTTCATGAGATTGTTTTGATCAGTATTTGGATTTTATTCCACTCCAAGAGAGTTCCAATAAAGGGTTTATGTAAAAATAACATTTTAAAATATAATCTAGTTCTCTATAGGTTTTGAGTAGTACAACCCATGACTCGCCATTGATTTACTAAAATACTATATTTTCGGGATGTGTATATTACTTGTGTTCACCATGGAAAACCGTAGGTTTTCTTCTAGGAGAAAACATAAGAAACATTTGTGCTCCTCCAAATTTGGTATTCGCTTTCCAGTAGTTAAAGAGGTGCAATGATGCAGTATAGATAGCAGCATATTTTAAATCATGTATTTCCGATGTAATGGCTATTTGTCCAGGATCATTACCCTGTGTTACGATGTAGACTTAGATCCAAAACTTTATACCATCCATTTTTTTAATTTATCAATACAAAAACATATCTTATAAAAAACCTTGTATGTTGCTTGTACTCTCAAGCCCCCGTCTCTCCCTCCATCACTTCTCTAAAGCATCTCGAGATCTCTATCCTCAACTTAACTCTTCCCATCCTGTAATTTCCATTAAGGAGAGAAATAAAAATGACGAGATAGAAAAAAACCCATTAAATCTGATAATTTTTTTAGAAAAATCTGATCTTGCAACAATAGCATTCGTATACTCACTTCAATGAACAAAGGATTTGACTTCTTGAATGAGTTTTTAGTTCCAAGCGACCAAACTACAAAAAAATGTCATGCAAAATCGAACTTGTTGGATTTGGTACAATACGAAAATGGCTCAATCCATCCAGAAAAAACCCTCCTTGACAAACGAAATAATAGCATATCAAAAGTAAACGTACAATAAAATTGAATTATAAACCTGAAAGATCGAAATTGGACATTTGATCTTAGACACTCTAAAACACCAAGTGGACAGCTACGACAAAGATATTGTTGATGAAACACCAAAAATACATTATCTCATTTTATAGTTAATTTTTTTATTGAATTAAATAATGTTCAATGAATTTAAAATTCAATTTAACTGCATTATTTTCGTTAAATGATGAAAGAAGATATTGAACTTGAAAGTTATGAAATAATAATAGAATAAATACATGAAAGAGATTATAGATATATAAAATAAGAAATATAAATCTGTGAGAGTCTACATCATTTCAATAAATATCTCATTTGAAATAAATAATGAAAATATAAACATCACAATTTTTTTTTACATCAGATTAATAAGTACAGGACACATATCAACATCAAATACAACCCCTAGAAGGGAAAATAAAAGCAACCCAACCTAAATTATAAAGAGATGATTAAATATTATATCTGAAACTAACCTGAATCTGTTTTATATGACCGACTGTGATGTTAGAGATCCCCAACATGCTTCCTTCTTGTTCAACAACTACACTAAGTCATCGTTGTTTTCAGATTTGAAAGGGTTGATTCTGGCATAGAGATCATATCAAGCTTAATTTATATGAGTTTGGTTCAGTTTTTTTTAGAATACGAAAGATATTCATACATTAAATATGACATAACACTAAAATAAATACACACTGAATATGAGGAATAGAATAATAGAAATTAAATACAACGAAATCAATAGTCAACTTTAAATTAATGTAGAATAAATATACACATACGACGTATCATTCTTGGTAGTTGAATTGATATTAACCATGCTGCATGAAATTAATGTATTAATAAGAATTACAAAAACATGCTACAGAAGGTATCATATTAATACGTAGAAAATGATTTGAAAATTTTTACATATTCTCACTTACTACACGTGTCAATCCCTGGTGAGTGGAACTGTACTTTTATATATATGATGATTGTTATAATCCTCTAGTTTTAAATATATATATATTTTGTTTTGAAAAAATACAATGTGCAAAAGATTTAAATAATAATAGCAATGTTTTGTAATCCTTCTTCGGTCCAGACCATCTCTATCTGGGCTTCGCTAATCCTAAGCCCACGGCCCAAATTTAATGGTAAAAGCAATCCCACATCGATAAAATGGAAAGACGCAAACAAGGAGAGAGTGTATAAGAAGGGAGCTCGTGATGGCTAGCAACATACTTACCTGGACGGGGTCAACGCGCGATCCAGAAAGCGCGTGGCCTAGGCTAGTGACCTCCATTGCACTTCGGAGGGGCGCTTAGCTTAAGGTCTCCCCAAGTGGGAGAGCCTACGTCATAATTTGTGGCAGAGGGGGCCTGCGTTCGCGCGGCCCCTACCAACATTCAGTTTCCGAATTTTCGATTGTTATATGAGAGGTCCCTCTTGTAATATTTAATTATTGTAAATTCTTTTCGTTATTACCTTCTGTAAATAATATGTAATTTAGGTCGGATCAATTTTATTATCTGCCTTTATAAAATAAATTTGCTATTTTTATCCAAATCTATTGTGTTCCTTTGCTTTTGTAACTGACAAACGAGAATAAGTGGCGATATGAATTGTGAATTGGTTTGAAATATATTAGTGTAGATTTATGGTGGAACAATGATTGGTGTGTTTTGTCTATTTGGCATCCTGAGTAGTGAATGAACGCCCTAACGTACATGCTTTTAAAAATATATATTTCTAAATTATATGTTTGTGAAATTATCTCGAGCTTGAGAAGGAGCAAAAGATTAAAAAATAAAAATTCATTTATCTTGTCCAAACTATCAAGAAATATGAAGAAAATTTGATCGTAATATTTAGATTTGATTCGATTTTTTTTTTATCTTTTAGATATTTATATTAATTAAATAAAATATTGTAAAATTGTATTAAATATTGTAATGGTTTATTTTAAATAATAAGAAATCCAACTTTTCTCTCGCTATATATATAGCATTAATATACTAAATAATAAAGAATTTAATAATTCAGACATGACGTCTGTAGGTCTATATGTTCATCAAATTTCATAAACTTAAAAAAAAAACCTTGTTCATACACTTAAAATGAAATACATTGGCATGGTGTGTTGGGCGTTAGATTCGAGCCTTTTTCTATTGGGCCGTCCAACTTAGGCCCATTCAAGGCCTAGTTGAGATTCTTTATATATTTATCCCACGTTGGCTATAACATACACAAACATAAAGGCATCACTATATTTCTTCAGTTGTGATCATATGATCCATGTGATCTGAAATATAATATGATCACATATTGATCTCATTGCTTATAACGTTAAATTTATGATGTTTTAATCAAATGATTAGTAAGATATATAAGGTATTAACATAATAAATTAGTGTGATCATCATAAATTTAACGTTATAATCAATAAAATCAAAATCTGACCACACTATATTTTGGGTCACATGGTCACAGTTGGAGAAGGGTATGTGTTGAAGTAGAAATAACAAAGTTGTGGTATTTTTGATATAATACCATTTAAATGACTCGAATTATATCGAGGAAAGCTAACGGTGCCGTGCGGTGAATGCATAACGAACTATTCTTTCTCCTTTTACTAAACAGTACCGTGTGTTCTCCGCTCTAAGCGACATACGCCTATTTTTGGAGGCGGCTTTCTTATTAAGAGATTGCCCCAACATACTTTAAGTTAAAAAGATTGCTCCACTATCTTAATGTTTATGAACACGTTAGTATTTTTTACGGGACGATTTACCGTAATTTACGGTAGCAATTTTCCATTTATTTGTTTTTACCACAACACAATTTTAAAGTCGCAATCGCCAGTTGCAATGACGCAAGCTTCGTCAAGTCTACCCTTGGCGTCAAAGTGAAAAACCATCTTTTTTCTTGTTGGTAAAGTGGAAATACCCATTTCTCTTTTATATATATTTGTATTATATATATATACACACGTATGTAAAAAAAATTGGATATAAACGATAAAAATTCAATCAATTACACTTTGCCCAACCTATTATAAGAGACACTAATCTTATCTGCCATTCAAAGTTGAACCATTTGGGGAGGCAGAGCTTCAAAGAGAATGAGACCGCAAGATAGCGTATGTCCCATGGAAGGTAGATAATCAGCGCATGAATTAGCTTCTCTGAAGATATGGTTCAATGATATGTTCCAAGGCTTCCTCAAATACTCTTGAATCTCAGCAATCATGGATCCTTCAATTGAAGATTCTCTCTGATAATTCTGGATAGCGGTAATCAGAGCCTGGTTATCCACCTCTACCGCGACTTTTCTTACCCCACGATCCCAAGCCAATCTTAGACCAAGAAGGAGTCCCCAAGTTTCGGCTCTGAACACTGAACATATCCCAAGGTTCGAAGAGAAACCCACCAACCAATTACCCCAATGATCTCTAATCAGACCTCCTGTTGCGGCAAGACCAAAATTACCCTGAACGCTTCCATCCGTATTAATTTTCAATACACTGCCGGGTTGAGGTGTCGTCCAGTAAATGTACCTCTCCATTTTGGGTCGTTTTGTGGAGGCTATCGGGTTATCTTTTTCGAGTTCATGAATTTGCTGAGCATGCCCGAATATTATCTGTTCTATTCTCTTGGGATGACCTCTATGTTGAAAGATTAACTCATTTCTCCAACGCCAAAGAAACCAACAAGTAATCCCAAAAATACCACTCCATGACAACAAGTGAAGCTCCCATCTGCTATTCAGGTTACTCTCAAACCAGTCCAAAAGTCCACTCGAGAAGAGAGCCGAGGAGTTGACAAGCTTCGTCCATATTTGTCTCGCTATCTTGCAATCTCTTAACACGTGCAAGACAAATTCTTCATGCAAACAGTCAATGGGACAGTTTTTATTGAGACCAATATTTCGTTGCACTCTTTCAACATTGGTCATGAGCTTCTGATGCAATGCAAGCCAGAGGAAGACTCTTATTCTCTCAGGACCTTTCCATCTCCACACTTTCGACCAGATTGAGGAAGAACGATTCTTTATATCTGGACATAAATACATATAAGCACTTTTAACTGAACAACGTCCATTTTGAGAGCCACTCCATATTATCTGATCCATACCTGCAGACTGTCTAGGAGGGGGTTGACTTGCAATTCTTAGACACGTGGCATGAGGAATGAGTGTTGCAAAATTATCCTATATCCACGACCCCTCGGTAGAGACAAAATCCGTCACTGATATCGGAGAAATACAAGCATGTATTTCCTCCTGCACATACCCTATTAATGGTTTATCTCCATCAATCCAATTATCACGCTAAAAATCCGTATTCTTTCCATCTTGTACCAAATTTGCACAACCATCCCTCATTGACCGCCACACCGATTTTATGCCTTGTCAGATGATCGAGCCACTATGGGTTGGAAGTGTATGCTCATACTGGTTACTGACAAACATGTATTTGCATCTTAATAATTTGACCCACAACTCATCATTGCATGTAAGGAATTGGAACGCCAATTTCATCATAAAAGCTCTATTGAATCGCTGGAAGCTGATCTCCCAGAGCCAAACTAACATTAGCTGAAAAATGTATTTGAGTTTTGATCGAGTTAACTTTTTCCCCAGACGCCTCACAGAACACATTCAAAACATCACACACTGTCTGTATCTGGGATGTAGATGCTTCCGCGAACAAAATTAGATCATCGACGAAGAAAAGGTGGGTAACGGGAGGAGCGCCTCGTTTAACTTGGAAACCCCTCCATTTGTCTTCTTTTACTGCAATCTTAATTAGATGAGCCAATCTCTCTATATAGAGGACAAAAATATAAGGAGAAAGAGGACATCCTTGTCGAATACCTCTTGTCGATGTGAAACATATTGATCTTTTCCCATTCCAAATGATGCTCATAGAAACTGTGGATAAGCACTGCATTATAATGTGTCAGAGAGTTTGGGGAAGCCCGATCTCCATTAATGTCTCCTCAACAAAGCTCCACCTTATTCGATCATAACCTTTTTCGAGGTCCACTTTTATTGCCATAAAGCCCCGCTTGGTCTTCAATCTATCCATGGAATGTATCAGTTCTTGCACCATGAAGATATTGTCCGTTATATGGCGTCCAGGCACGAAGCTATCTTGTTCCAGTCCTACCAGCTCGGGGAGGAGGGGTTTGATGCAGTTTGCTATCAATTTTGTAAGGATCTTATAGATGACATTGCAAAGACTGATTGGACGCAACTGATTAACCAACCCAGGATGTTGAACCTTTGGGATAAGGGTGATTAATGTATAATTGATCTGTGGATCGAGGGGATTTCTGCCAAAAATCTTGGTAATGAAATCTACGAACCAACTATACCCCATTGATTTTGGTAGAAAATTGGACTCAAACCATCGGATCCTGGGCTTTTGAAAGGATGCATAGCAAAAAGGGCACTGTAAACTTCGTTCGGCGAAGGGGGGTCTGCAGTACAAGCTAATTGATCTGTCTCGTTCTAGTTGTGGGAACATACCTCTAATACACTTCTGGTTACCAATATCATCCTCAGAGTATAACTTCTCAAAGTGATCAACCACTAACTCTTGAAGAGCCTTGTTCAAAACCCATTGTCCATCCATGTCCTTCAATCGAAAAAATTTGTTCCTCTTCTGCCTGATCATCGTTTTTGCATGAAAAAATTTTGTATTTCTGTCCCCGCTATTAATCCACTCAACTCTTGATTTCTGGAACCAGAAAAGCTCCTCCTGGTGGAGCACGAGTTCAAACTCTCTCTTAAGTAAACTTTCTAATTCCATAAGAAAACTATCTAAAGGCCTTTGAGTTAGCGCCTTCTCGACACCCTTAATTCGAGCCATAAGTCTTGACTTTCGTCTGTGAATGCTCCCAAATATATGTTTATTCCACTGAGTTTCTTGCCGCGAGAATTCATTAATGGTACTCAAAATATTGTGAGAA